CTGTCTTTCAGAGGTCTCTGAGGGATATTTCATCATTATCTCAGTGGATCATCTTCATGTAAGTTGACATCTTCTCTCTTATTTCACTTCATAGTTTTTAATCTTTGTTACTTATCTACTAAAACAATGCATTTTCACTCAGATTTCCTAGAGCTATATGCCAGTGTATTTGCATATTAGCTATACAACCTTGAAAAAGTCATTTGATATTTGTCTATCTCAAGGTTTTTTAGTTTGACTATAGGGAAAAAATTCATAAAATGGGGTTGATTTAAGGGTTAAAGTCAATGCTCACAAAAGACTTGCAGCAGTTCTTGGCCCATTGAATATTACTTACTGAGTTTGGTATGGGCTGGGCTCTGGGAGAATAATGGTAAGAAATACAGATCCAATTCTGCTCTCATTAGAATGGCAAGAGCTTATTTAAAGTGATATGCTGGGACTGGAGAAGTAGCTACATCAGTAAAGTGCTCATTTCCCAGAGCATATCTTAAGAAACAACAACAAAAACAACAAACAAAAAACAAGGACAGTGCTATGTGCCTGTAACCCCAGAGTTTGCACAGTAAAGACAAGTGAATCCCCAACATTCACTGGCCAGCCAGCCTACCTTAGTCAGCAAATTACACCCAGTGAGAAATCTTGTGATAAAAGCAAACACACACACACACACACACACACACACACACACACACACACACACACACCACTGCCGGGGGAGACTTGCTTCAATAACAAGCAAGTAAAATAGATGAATGTTAAAATACAGATTATGAAAGAAAGAAAGAATATACCTATAAAAGAAAGAGTACTGAGAGAAAACATGTTGAGATAGTCAGGGAAATGACTTTGAATTTCAAATGTTCTTGAATCATCTCTGATGTGAGAATGTTTCAGAAAGTAAGCCATTATCCTTTGGCAAGTTAGAACATTCCTGAAGGCAGTGTAGCAACACATACAAAAGACAGAAGCAGTAGCCTATGAGGCGCTGAAAGATGCCAAGGTGTTTGGAAAGGTGACTTTATGTGGTGCTGTTTCATAACACCAATCATCTGAAAATATGAAGGTAAAACTTACTTCTGTGATATATCCAACCAACCACTGATCATCTCCCTTTTCTCCTGCTGTCTTTCACTTCCAAGGCAGAACGTACCAAATTCTTTTGAGCATGGTGGGATCTGCCTTAACATCACCAGTCAGGAGGTCAAAGCAGGGGAGTCAAAGTTCATCTTGTATTACATGCAAAAAAACTGATTTGGTCAGTTGTATGTTTTGTAGAATGGCTCAAGTGTCTATAAATTCCACAATTTGGGCTCCAACCCTATATTTATGTTTATAAAAAGATATAAATTTGGATGATAGTGTCAAGAACACCCATGTGACACAAGTGGGATCATAAAGTCAGATTTCAGGGAACCTGTGTGAGAAGTAGGAGAGAGATAGTCTCAGAATGAGCCTGAGAAAGATAAAAAAAGAGAAATAAAACCTCAAAGTAACAGGACTCATGGGCTGTCAAAGCCAGACAGGTGCAGAGACCTAATTACTTGAGAAAGTGGTGAACCTCTCTCAAATACCCATAGGAGGTTTTGAGTCCTAGATGTCTGTCACAGACAGTGCACAGTATGACATCATATTATTACTTAATATTGAATTGTACCTTTGCAATTCCAATATTTATCCCTGTAAATAATGTGAAGTAATGATTCTCCAAGAAAAGATTTTGGCAGATAAAGCCAAGTTCCGTGAACATGCAATCACAAAAGCACCATCTGGCTGAGCTCTAGGAATCCATTGAGCCTAGGGAGGTTCCTGAGAGGTGGGATACTCCCTTAATGAGGTCATAATGACAAAACAAACCAGCTAAGGAAAAAGAGGAGAAGAGGCATGGGTGCACAGTGGCAGTGACTATGCTGCGGGAGGAAGTGGCTAAGGGGTTCAACTGAAGGTTCTTCTTTCTGTGGGTCCTCTTCCACTTGGGCCATCACAGGCAGCCTTTGGAGCATCACAGGCAGAAGTATCACACATTTCCTAGAGAAGAGCCATTTATCACAAAATGGGGGTACTTGGCTGTGATCCCAGCAGTCAAGAGGCTGAGAATGGGAACAGTCATGAGTTCTGGGCTGGACAGTGGAATATTGTTTCAAAAAACTGAAAGAAAGTAAAGAAAGGAAGAGGAGAAGGAGGGAAACAAGAAGGAGGAGGAAGAGAAGGGAAGAATCTAGTAAGTAAGTCATAATCTTGCAGAGAATGCTGAAGCAGCTGCAGAAAGAGAAACTGGGGACCTGAACAGCCAGAAATGTTTATCAGCAGGCAGATGAAGGGTGCATTTGTCAAGTTTCAGACGACTGTCTTTTGAAAAAGAAAATTTACTGAAGAAAGAAACCCAATGCAATGTGGACCTGAGAGAGCTCCTCTTTATCCGAATAACTCAAGAGGAAATGGATCATATTATGATACAGTCTGGAAATTTGAAACAGTCACCTAAATTTAGCATTGGAAACAATGAACAAAATAACTTTGATAGCAGAAAAAAAAGAAAACAAGAGTTTCTTACTTTAGTATTTGCTTTCAAAGGTTTCTAGACATCAAGAGAGAGGTGAGGTAGGTAAAGGGCAAATTTTAAGTGGAAGAGGGTCCTTAGCCCAGCAGTGATGTCATGACAAGAAAAGGTAGCAAGAACAATGCCTTCCTTTGAGCTATGAATAGAAAACACAGCACACACCATGAAGAAAGACTCCAGTCATAAAAATCTCTGATAGAAAATCACCATCCGCTAAGGGTGCTGCACCATTGAAACTGACAGTGCAAACTATAATTATCAGTCCTCATGCACCTACAGTATTTAAACTTACTGGAGATCAGTGTTTAACAAAGTACACCCCACAGACCCCAGCCACAGGATAATGATGTATACTCACTGATAGAGGCATGTTCTGTTTATCTGGGGAACACTGGATTAGACAATGACAAACGCATTCTCATCATGAAGCTTCTTGTAAACTTTATGAGACAATGTGAAGCTTCCACATAATCTCCAACTCACCCTTGGCCTTGGCCATGGAATCTGTTCCTCTTGCAGCACAAGTTACAGTAGCTGGCCCCACTTCAGCCAGTTCTGAAACACCAGGGTCTCAGGGTAGCCCCTGCCATAGGAGTGAGTTTAAAAAGATGAGTTTTAAAAGCCTAGAATTCTTATTTAAAAAGATATTGGGAGGTGGGGAGGGCAAAAAGATGGCTCAGCAGTTATGAGCATCTGCTGTTCTTGCAGAGAACTAGAGTTTGGTTCTCAGGACCAATGTGTAGCTCACAACCATCAGTAGATCTAGTTCTAGGAGATCTGCTGCCCATCTCAGGGCTCAACAGGTTCAAGGCACTCACATTGTACACAGACATATATGCAGTCAAAACATTCATACACATAAAATAAAAAATAATGACACTGAATCATTATTTCATCAAACAATGAAGGATTCTGGGAGATGTTTTAAGATACTAGAAGAAATGAAGCTTTACTATGAAATTATAAAAATTAGTGGAAACAAAAATGACAATTTTGACGTTGTTTGTTACCTGCTGTGGTAATTAGAAATTCAAAGGTATTTGAATGCAGGTATAACAATAATAACCCACAAACCTACTGGCTCTGTGCCACTGTATTTTACTTAATCCTAGGTGCAAGATGAATCACAATTGTGTAGTTGAATTTTAGTCTATACATTTTGTTTTCCCAATGGAGCCATCATGCAGTTTACTCACTAGTATAGGAGACAGCACACATCTAGAAGGAGGTGAGTATTCAGCTCTAGGATCACTTGAGTGAAACACTCTCTCATGTTGATGTCTTGTTTTGTTTGCAAAGAGCTAGAACAAATATAGGAATTCTACATGCATCTATATCTTGCAAAGTCATCAAGCAGGGCCCTCCCACAGATTTACAGACTGTCTAGTGAAATGTTATGCTGTATGAGCAATTTGTCTCTGTCAAAGCCAGAGAAATTAATATTAGTGCCTCAGAGATAAAAGTTTTGTTCATTCCTGGCTACAAATGGCACTTCGGACAATGTTGGATGACATGACAGATGGACCCCTATTGCATTGGGTAGCAGTGTTTTCTCCTTTGGCTGTTCTGGACAGTAGCTTTAAATATCTTCACACTGACATCTAACTGTTCTTAGTCTCAGCTACTTAGATGTAACACAAGGACACTTTTGACCTTGAAACAACCCAGGATCACATCAAATGATAGAGTTATTTTATTATATAACAACCTTTTACAAAACTGACATTTATTATCAGAGACTATACCTAAGTTTTATTTAATCAAAGTACTAAATGTGAATTATTTCCATACTAGTATAGTCAAATGTTTTCATATGGAACTTGTTAAATGTATTACTCAAAGTCATAAACATAATAAGTGTAGAGCTGAATTCCCATTTCATGTTGTTCTGACTTTAAAGTTTATGATGCTTGGTAGTGAGCAGTCTTCAGAAGATCAGAATTCCGTGCCCTTTGCACTCCAAGCGAATTAGTTTGATGAATCAATACATGTGATGATAGCCAGGCTTGGCAGTGTGCAACTATAATCCCAGCTTTTTAAGAGATTGAGGTGGGAGGATCTAAGTTTCAGGCCAGCTTGGTATGTGGAGTGACTTTGAAAATAGCCTGGACAATTTAGAGAGTTGTTGCAAACGAGAATGAAGAAGGCTTAGAATACAGATCAGCGTACAGGTTTTTCTAGTGTGTGTGTGAGGCCCAGTGTGCGTGAGATTTCACTTTCATATATGTGGATATATAATCTCTACAACAATCAAACATAGATAGGAATAGAAGGAGAAGATTCTCAGCTCAAAGCCCAGAAAATATTTTTAACAAAATCATAGAAGAAAATTTTCTAAACCTAAAGAAGGACATGCCTATAAAGATACAAGAAACTTACATAACACTAAATAGATTGAACAGAAAAGAAAAATCCATCCCCAAATAATAATCAAAACCCTATACTTACTCAGCATGGGAGATACCATGATCATGAAGGTGGTTTTCCCAGGGCAAGGCTTATCCATTGCACTCCAGATGTGCTGACCCATGTGATTTACTCAAATGCAAGAAACTCAACTGAATAATTTGTGGTAATGGGGGTCTGAATTCACTCTGTCCCCTGAGAAAGAATTAAAAATTTTATAAAAAATTAAAAAAAAATCAAACTCTAAACATCCAGAAAAAGGAAAGAATATTAAAAACTGGAAAAAGGACAAGTAACATATAAAAATAGATGTATTAGAATTACATTGACTTCTCAACCGAGATTCTAAAAGCCAAAAGGACCTAGAAAGATGTCTTAAAAACTCTAAGTGACCACAGAAGCCACCCCAGACTACCATAATCTGTAAAACCTTCAATCACCATAGATGAAGAAAACAAGATCTTTCATGACAAAGTCAAATTTAAATAACATCTATCCAAAAATCTAGCCTTATAAAAGGTACTAGTAGGAAAGTTCCTACATGCTTAAATACACCCACATAACATCGGCAATAAATAATCTTACACCAGCAAAACTCAAGGAAGGGAAACACACACACACACACACACACACACACACACACACACACACACACACACTACCACCAACACCATCACCAACAAAATAACAGTAATTAACAATCACTGGTCATTAATATCTCTTAATATCAATGGACTCAATTCCCCATTAAAAAGCACAGGCTAACAGAATGGATAATAACACAAGATCCATCCTTCTGTGTAGCAGGGTCCTTTGCTGTTGTTCCCTTTTGGGGGAGAGGGCCAAGTAGGCACAGAGTCATACCACACAGACTCTGGGAGAATGTCAAAACAACAAGCTCAGTTTATTCAGGAAGAGGCAAGCCTTATATAACCTCCACCCCTCCCTGGGGGGAGGTCTGATGAATATGCATCAACTGATGTGACATAACTGTCTCTCATTGGTCCAGGTAATCTCCAGATCATGTTTCAGCTGCTGTTGCTAAGGCCCTTAGGCAGACCCAAGCTGGCTCTCAAAAAGTATCTTTTTTACTTGTTTGGGCTGTGTGGCCCTCAAGTCTGTTAGGGATGAGTCATCTCACACTTCTGATGTATACAAGAAACATATTTCAACATCAAAGATAGACATTACCGCAGAGTACAGGGTTAGAAAAAGATTACCCAAGCAAATGGACCCAAGAAGCAAGCTGGTGAAGCTACTCTACTATCTAACAAAACAGATTTCAAACCAAAAATAATCAAAAGGGATGAAAAGGACATTTCATAGTCATCAAAAGAAAAATTCACCAAGACAATGTCTCAATTCTGAACATCTATGTACCAAATGCTAAGATATGAACATTTATAAAAGAAACATTACTTAATAAAGCTTAAATCACATACCAATATATCACACATTAGTAGTGGGAGACTTCAATATCCTATTCTAACCAATGGACAAATTATCCAGACAAAAATTAATCAGATAAATACTGGAGCTAACAGACATTATGTATGACTCAAATGGACCTAGCAGATATCTATGGAATATTTCACCAAAACATAAAACAATACACATTCTTCTTATCACCTCATGGAATATTCTCTAAAATCAACCACATACTTGGTTACAAGTCTCAACAAATAAAGAAAATTGAAATAAACCTCTGCATCCTATCAGATTACCATTGAAGCTGGATTGCAGAAACAGAAAGCCTATAAATTCATGGAAATGTAACAACTTTCTACTGAGTTTCCACTAGGTCAAGGAAGAAATAAAGAAAGAAGTAAAAGACTAAATAGAATTCAATGAAAATAAATGAGCAATGGAATAAAACTTATGGGACACAATGAAAGAAGTGCTAAGAGGAAAGTTTATAGCACTCAGTGCCTTCATAAAGAATTTGGTAAGATCTCATACTTACAAGTGAACAGCACACATGAAAACTCTAGAACAAAATGAAACAGACACACCCAAGAGGAGCAGATGGCAGGAAATAATCAGATTAAGGGCTGAAATCAATAAAATATAAACAAAGAGAACAATACAAAGAATCAATGGAACATAGAATTTGTTCTTGAGAAAATCAACAAGATAGAGAAACCCTTATCCAAACTAACTAAAAGGCAAAGAGAGAATATTCAAATCAGCAAAATCAGAAATGAAAAGGGGGATATAACAACAGTCTCTGAGGAAATCTAGAGATCATTAGGTAGTACTGCAATAACCTGTAGTCTACAAAATTAGAAAATCTAAAAGAAATGGACAGATTTCTTGATAGACAACTCTTACCAAAATTAAGTCAAGATAAATTAAACAATTTAAATAGACCTATAACCCCTAAGGAAATAGAAGCAGTCATTGGAAGACTCCAACCCAAAAGAAAGAAAGAAAGAAAGGAAGGAAGGAAGGAAGGAAGGAAGGAAGGAAGGAAGGAAGGAAGGAAGAGAAAGAAAGCCTAGAGACACAAAGCCTTAGTGAAGAATTCTACCATACTTTCAAAAAACAGATAATATCAATACTTCTCAAACTATCTTACAAAATAGAAAAAGAAGGAACATGGACAAAATCTTTTTATGAGGCCACAGTCACCCTGATACCCAAACCATAAAGATTCAACAAATAAAGAGAATTAGAGACCAGTTTCCCTCATGAATATTGGTGCAAAAATACTCAGTGAGATATTACCTAACCAAAATGTCAAAAAGAACATCCACCATGATCAAGTATGCTTTATCCCAGGGATGCAGGAATGGTTCTACATATGAAAATCTGTCAATGTAATCTACCATATAAACAAACTGAAAGAAAAAAAACACACAAGATCATCTCATTAGATGCCAAAAATGCCCTTGAAAAAATTCAACACCCCTTCATGATAAAAGTCTTGGAAAGATCAGAAATACAAGGAATACACCTAAACATAATCAAGACAATTTATAGCAAGATAACAGCCAACACCAAATTAAATTGAGAGCAATTTTACTAAAATCAAGAACAAGAAAAGGCTGTTCATTGTCCCCATATCTGTTCAATATAGTATTTGAAATTCTAACTAGAGCCATAAGACAACTACAGGGGCTCAAATGTATATAAATCAGAAAGGAAAAATTCATATTATCCTTATTAACAGATGACATGATAGTATACATAAACATCCCCAAAAATTCTATCAAGGAACTAACTCCTACAGCTGATAAACCTTTAGGAAATTGGCTGCATACAAGATTAACTTAAAAAAAAGGGAAAAAAAAAGAGTAGCTCTCCTATATACAAATGACAAACAGGCTGAGAAAGAAGTCAGGAAAAAAGCACCCTTCACAGTAGCCACAAATAACATAAAATATCTTAGTGTAACCCTAACCAAACAAGTAAAAGACCTATATGACAAGAACTTTAAGCCTTTGAAGAAATAAATTGGAGAAGATATCAGAAATTGGAAAGATTCCCCATGCTCACTGGTCAATAAGATTAACATAGTAAAAATGGCCATCTTACCAAAAGTTCAATGTGATCCCCATTAAAATTCCAATACAATTCATTATAGACCTGGGAAGAATAATACTCAACTTCATAAGGAAAAACAAAACAAAACAAACAAAAAACCCAGGATAGCTAAAACAATCCTGTACATTAAAATAACTTTGGAAGAATCACTGTCTCCGATTTTAAGCTCTTCTACAGAGTTACAGTTTAAAAAAAAAAAAACAAAAACAAAAACAAAAAAAAACGGTATTGTCATAAAAGCAGACAGGTGGATCAGTGGAACAGATTCAAAGACCCAGATGTAAATACACACACCTATGGACATGTAATTTTCGACAAAGAAACCAAAATTATACAATGGGGGAAAAAGCATCTTTAACAAATGGTGTTGGTATAACTGTATGTTAGCATGTAGAAGAATGCAAATAGATCCATATCTATCATCCTGCACAAAATTCAAGTCCAAGTGAATAAAAGACCTCAACATAAAACCAGATACACTGAACCTGATGAAAGAGAAAGTGGGAAATAGTTTTGAATGCATTGACACAGAAGACAGCTTACTGAACAGAACATCAATAGCACAGATACCAGGATCAACAATTAATAAATGGGGACCCACCCTCCAAGACTGCAACTGTTCCCTGAGACAGAGCCTGCCAGCACCTGACTGGATGAAGAGGTGAGTCTTTATCCTCATACCCGAACACCCCAGCTTTGAGCCCAGGGACATAACCTTGCTCCCCTACACTTGTAGATGTAACCAACGGTCTTATTAAATAAGAAACACAGAAACAATGTAAAAGAGAGAGCCGAGAAGTCAGAGCTCAGAGCTAAAATCTCACCCTTCCTCCTGCTGTCCCAGCTTTGCGAAAAGAGACCTACTTCCTGTCGGTTCGTTTTTTTATAGTATGTTATTCTGCCTTCTCATTGGTTGTAAACCCAAACACATGACTGCCTCGTCACTGTCTGAATGTACAGCCCCTAGGTCTTAAAGGCATATGTCTCCAATGCTGACTGTATCCCTGAACACACAGAGATCTTATGGGATTAAAGGCGTGTGCCACCACCGCCACACTCTTGCTATGGCTCTAATAGCTCTGACCCTGAACACAC